TCGGAAAGCAAACAGACAGGAATCAAAGAAAAGTTGTCATGAACAGATGCTTTACAGAAAGGCGTGGTGCAAATGAACCATTGATTTACTGCCATGAAAAAGGAATCAGTGGGAAAATTAGAAGGAGGAAGGCAACAAGGCCATGATCTTATGAACAAAAAATGACCTTCAAAAGAGTAGGGTGTCCTCTAAATAACTGTCAATCAACTGTCCCTAGGGAGAGGGGGGAGAAGGGACTAGTGTCAATGTGATCCAGGATATCTCATTTCCAGAAAAGAGTAATCGGAGCTTAGCTGTTGTGATCCCTTTTTTAAAAAGCCTCTGCTGTCACCAGATCACTGTTCAAAAGGTTTGTTTTCTTAATTAAGTTGTACCCTATGTGACCAAACCTCCTGTGTAGTAAATGTATGCATTGATCATGTTCAGGCTTAATCAGACTTAGACATGCTTGCAGGTGGTCTGTGTGTATTAATTTAATCAAGCCCTTGCACTGTTCAGCCTGCCCACAGACATTACCATTCCTTTTAATAATACAGCCTGTATCATTAAATGTTTTCTCCAGGAAAGGGCCTGGCGTGCTCTGGTCCACAGGGTCACGAAGCTTGGGATGTGACTTAACGACTCAATTACAGCAAATATCATTAAATGTTACTTCAAACCCTTTTTCTGTTCAGCATTTCACACTCAGCAAATTGTGTTTTAATTGGAGTGCCAACAATACTTCTTCAAGCTTACCTAAACCAGGTATTTGAACAGAACCTTGTGCTGTTACAGGGGAACACAATCCATTTGCTAAGCTTACACATTGTAACTTGCAATTGTCCCTGGAAATAAGCAACTCCGGATTCCTGGTCACGAGGTAGCTGGCTCCGCTGTCAAGGATCCAGTCTTGTCCTTGAAAATGCTCAGCCTGGTAAACGACTGAAGCCTCTCCCTGCCTTTCCCTCCTGAAGCTCTGCTGGACGAGAATTTCAACCTTTCTCTCCGGACAGGACTTTAGCCGATGTGAGCTACTTCCACAGAAAAAACACCTTTTCACTCTCAAGACACCTGGAACTTCGTGCTGTCTAGGTACAGTTTCCTGCATGTCTGGGGTTTGCTGGCTCATTGCCACTTGCTTATCTGCTCTTCTGGACTCCTCCTCTCTGAGTCTCACAGAGATGTAAGGCAGAGTAAGCTGATCCCTCGGGACTGTCTCCAATGTCACAACCAATACATCAGAGGATGCATCAAGGCTTGACAGAATTAAATAAACTTTATGCAATTCAGAAAAATCCAAACCCATTTCTTCGAGCTGGATAGATATCCCGGTGATCTGCTCAAGGTTTTTTGGATACACTCCCTCCTGGCTGCAGCCTCAAGCGATAGAGCTGCCTGGCCAGGATTACCTGAGAAGACAGAGAGTCCCGTACACGTGTCCTCCTTAATGCTAAACAACATTGTTGTGCTGAGTCAATTCCTCTGACCAGAGATAACTGACTGTCCTCTAAGCTCAAAATAATAATAGACAAGGCACGTTGGTTGTTCTGGGTATCTTCCTCCCTCCTTATGGGAGTTGGTGGGTTGTTAATTATGTCCCAAAGACCTTCCCCGAGCAGGAACATTCTCATCTTCAGCTCCAAGGCAAGATAGTGCCTCTCATTTAGACTGGGAAGTTTGAAATTAGGAGCAGTCGCTGCCATTCTGATAAGAATTGGTGCTCTCTCTCTCACGCTCTCGCATAAACAACAAAAATTAAGCTGTGCACATGGGCTTGTTCTCACAACATGAGAAGCTCAAAAATAGCCCATTAAGAGGTCGCGTAGCCTGGGCCCATAACCTGTTAAGATTTGGTGGGAGATAACAGAGCGGTATTGTTTATGCTGTTTTTCTTCAGTAATCTCCAAACTGAGAGCAAAAATAAAGACTCTGAACACAGACATTCCCTTCACTGAGAGAGTATTTACAAATATACATACACCGCACCTCAGAACTGGCAAGGTCCGTGATTCCAACTGACAAAGTAACATGCTGCTCCTCCATGCATCAACCCAACAATAAGCTTAGTCAGCAAAGGATCCAGGATATCTCATTTCCAGAAAAGAGTAATCCCATTTTAGCTGTTGTCGTCCCTTTTAAATAGCCTGCACTGTCACCAGATCACTGTTCAAAAGTTTGCTTATTTGATCTCTTTTGGCATGGCTTCTGAGTGCCTCCATCCAGACCCACAAGTTCTGATCTAATCTGGACACTTCAATCTGAAGCAATTATCGATGGGTATTTCCATGTCAATAAAGCCCAGAGCATTAGTCAAAGGCACTTCTTAACTTTGCCTATTCAAAAAGAATGTGCAATACTTTAACTGTATTTTAAAGTGTTTGGTTTGTGCCACAATCAATAAGAACTAGCAGAACCAAG